TGGGCTGCGCCGGCGCCGCAGCTCGGCCACTGGCCCGGCCGGCTCTGCGTTCCGCTCCCGTGCTGCGCCGTTTGGTTTTCTCTACGACCATTGCGCCCCACGCCCATTTTTGTGTTGGCTGCGCCCCGCCGTTTCCGCTCGGGGCGGTGCTGCTTGCGCCGACGTTATGAGGAACAGTTGCGGGCGCTGTGGTGCGTTGAGGTGTGTCAACTGCGATGCTGGTTGTTTGGTGTGCCTTCTTCGGATTGTTCGTCGCAATGCCGGTAATGGGCGATCGTTCGGCCAACTATGCCGCCACCGTCGTCTCATTCATGAAATTACTCGCGGGGCCCGGTGCTGCCGTTGTGGTACGCGTCCGGCTTGCTTTACTTGACGGGGCACCTGGCAACTTTTTTTTAAATTCTATTATGAGGACCGTGTTGCATGGCGTCGTTTTTTCCCTCCTTTTTCGGCTGGTGTTATCGTGGGATTGCTATTGTGCCACTGGGCTGGCTGCGTGGTCCCTTCCTTGAGCTTCGCGGCAAGCGAGATACGCGTGGCACGCGGCGCCGCTTATTTGCGACAGCGTCGGCCCAAGGTTGGCTTCGTGATCGACCCTCTGCCTGTCTCCGTGTTGCGCAGCTTTCTTTCGCCGGATGGCGCGCTTGTGGCGTAGCGTGCGTCGGGCAAATGTCGTGGGGCGGGTCCCGCCGCGCCTGTCACGTGCCGTGGCTCTGCTCTGCTCTGCACTGCTCTGTGGCGGCGTTGCCTGTGGGATGGCCTGAACGCGACGGAGTCGCGGGTGTTGTGAGTGCCGGGCCTGTTTCGTTGGGGGTTGCCCATCTGGCGACTACGCACGCGCTTCGGCGGAGACGAACGCGCCGGCCACGTTGGGACGCGGCCTCGGTGGGCGCCCCTTCCTAACTTGCTGACGCTGCGCATGCGGGCACCTCTCTGGTTTGCCCTTTGCGGCGTTGGCTCGGAGTTGGTGGGCGTCCCTGGTGCTCGCCACGTCTGCGCCGCACTTGCCGGTGAGGAGGTGGACAGCACGATGAGAACACTGTTGACGGTGCTGAGCGGCGTGGGGAGTGCGGTGGGTCGGCTGGGGATGAGCTACTTCGAGGTCTGGTCGCACTCGCGCATGGCGGAAGATCGAATCCCCATCACGGTGTCCCTTTTTGTACTGGCCGTGCGCATTATTCTTGTACGTGCTGCGTGTTGCGGTAGCCCCAGCGCAGGTGCTGCGTGGGCGTGGTTTGCAGTTGCGGCGCTGGGGAGTGGCTTTGACGCCGCCGACTCCGTCCCTGCCGTGCGCACCATGCCTGCAAGGGTGGCCCTGCGCAGGTCTACGGCTTCGCAGGCGGCCTCTTGTGGCTGTCGGCTGTGCGGCTCGACCGTTTTCTGCACGGTGGGGGGTGGTGTGCGTGGGAGGTTGGGCGCCGCGGTGGCGTCTTGTGCCACCGAAGGTCGTGTGTGCTTAATCCAGTGCTTGTGGTGCCGGTTTGGTCCATGGCCTGTTTGTTCTCAATTGGTTACCTACGCGCGGTCTGCGCTTGCTTCTTGCCGATCGTTGCCGTCGCAGAGTGGAGTCAACGGGGCCCATCAGTGGTGGGCGTCGGAGGCCGGATTAGCCGAATGGCCCTGACGCATCTCTCCGTGGAGGTGGGGGCAGTGTGGATGCCTGGCGCAGCTGCAGGGCCCAACGTCCGCCCGGGGAAGCTCGACGGCATCCGCTTTCC